CAATTCCATGGTTACACTACAGCCATTTTCATGGTTACACTACAGCCATTTCCATGGTTACACTACAGCCATTTCCATAGTTACCCTATACCCAATTCCATGTTTATGCTACAGCCATTTCCATGGTTACCCTATTCCCAATTCCATGGTTACACTACAGCCATTTCCATGGTTACCCTGTACCCAATTCCATGGTTACACTACAGCCATTTCCATGGTTACACTACAGCCATTTCCATAGTTACCCTGTACCCAATTCCATGTTTATGCTACAGCCTTTTCCATAGTTACCCTATACCCAACTCCATGGTTACGCTACAGCCATTTCCATGGTTACCCTATACCACTGCTGTGGTGTTTTGTGTTCTTGAATAAGTGTTCTTGTTCTCTGGGGGGGTGGTGGGTTCAACCTGACAAACGGGGGACTATTTAGTATAGAACATTGTATGGAATGCTAGATAATTTACTGGGGCTTCTCAACATGTTAGTCCTTTAATGAGCATTTTATTACCACTAACAAAACCCTCAACAGGCATGATGTTAACACTCTTCCCTGTAAACAGCGCTGGCGGTAAAACGCCACTAAGTTGGCTTAGCAGTTCTTATTCTGCAGGTGGAGTGCTGCTTTTTAACATCATAATTACCTTTAATTTGAATAGATATTAAATTAATCCCCAAAGATTATGAATTCCAATTTTCAGATTTATCTCTAAAGAGTTAATGCTGGTTATCATACCTGCTGTTCTTATTTAAAGGTACCCTGCAGATCGTGCTCTATATTTAACGTTCTGTACTGCGGTCAGGGTCGCCACGTTCAGCAAAAATCTGCAGCATTCACTTAAAAAACACTCAGAAGCTGAAACTTTATAATTTCACCCACGACTGCATTTTCAAACTAGCCCAATTTAGCACGAGAACTGCAAACCCTGCAACCCAGACTGCACAACATAAACACTCCACTGCAAAACCAATCAACCAGTGATTCTCGGCTCATGACTCATTTATTTTACATGAAGAATTCTTATGATGTGTAAATATTACATATGACTGGAATTAAAATGTCAGTAATAGAGATCTTGAGTGATATTAATCCAAATAGGATGGAAAGCAGGGATGGTTTGTTTTACAATTGGGAATGTTTTTGGTTAATTTTTTTGGCATCCTCTCGCATCCAGTCCTCAAATCAGCCCCAGGTTGTGCTGATTGTTGGCAAATTGTCTTAATTGTGTAATATTTAAAACTTTAAAATCACTTATTTTTTGTACTTTTACTCTGCAGTGTCCTTTAAGTATGGATGGAAACACATGCTCACACCCAGCTAGCACTGTGTTTGTTTATGGAAGAAGAATCTATTGTCCTTCGCTTTTGCTGCACCGTTAAAACCCAACAGATGCAGCTCAAACCACTTCCAGAACCACTCGCTCTTTTATGAAAATCCAAACCAGTCCATTATCATCCAGCGCCCCAAACCAGACACTCGAGACCTTTTTAATTAGCATGCTAGCAGTTTGGCCAATGTCCAGGATTACATAATCCAGCTGTAGGGCCGGTTCATGAGAATCACTCTGGGATACTTACCAGAAACAGACAAACAGATTAAACTGTAGTCATAAATTAAAAGCCTTCAGCAGAGAAACGACATGGAGCGTAATTTAGCGCAAGACTGCGCTGAGCCGTGACAGCAAACACAAGCTGTAATTCTATATGAACTATTTCTGACTGATTGCTTATCATTACAAGTGGACAAACTGTTGGAAAGCGCAGATTCTAAACTGCTAATTCATTATGATTTGAGTTCGATTAAAAGGTAATGGATCAGATTCAGAAAACTCAGGGCTAACAGAGCTAAACATGTGACACGGTGACGAAGTCCTGCTCGTATGTCCACCGCAGCAGTGACCAGTGCATTTGTTACTCATGTTTCCAGGTAAAAGCCACTCAGATCTGACAGACTGAAGTGCTAATGCATATTAATCACCAGCGCGCAGTGCTTGTAGGCAAAACCACAAATCTGAGCTACAGATTTGGAGAAAAAAGGAAATAAGTAGCAGTACATAAATGATGTTACCCAATTTTCTCCCCATTTAGTCGTCTCCAATTCCACCTGCTAGTTAGGACTCCCCCAATCACACGATGCTATCAACGCTAGGAGGGTGAAGGCTAACACAGGCTTCCTCCGAGACCTGTGAAGCCAACCACCACTCCTTTTCGAACTGCTGCTCACGCAACGTCACTGGACAGCTGAACGCGCTCGGAGGAAAGCGCCAACCGCCAGATCTGTTACGTCAGCTAACAGACCCCTGCGCTGACTAGCATCGCGCTGAGTGATGGGGGGAGAAGGAGGGGCCATCCTACCCACCCAGAGAGAGCGAGGCCAATTGTGCTCTCTCTGACTCCCGGCTACAGACGGCTGTAGCATCACCAGGGATCGAACTCGATCACCTGATGGCAGGGCCAATGCTTAGACGGTTGCGTCACTCGGGAGCCCCAAATGATTCGATGTTTTAAAGGTATTAACCAGGTTGCCTTAAACTTTTGAGTTAATCAAACTTCAAATAATGAATTAACAGACTGTAAAGCACAGATTGTTGTTCTGTTAGTCTCACCATTACATACTGAAGCCCTGAAGGGAAAGATGAAAAAGAAATTGAGAGTACGTTTCTCAGTCTAAGGACATTTTCACATGTCGTTCTTTTTAAGGATGCTTTCATGCTTGGGCCGTTTCAGTGCCCCGAAGTGGACTCAGACCGCTGAGTCATGGTTTTCTGTGCTTATGTGAACCACTCAAACTCAGACCCTCTAAACGGCCCCAAAAACTAACTATTTTTAGGTTTGTTCTGTGGTTCGATTGATTTGTGCATTATGAACACAAAATGGCTCCAGGCTGCTTTTGCTCTGCTTTTTGTTGAAGACCTGGAGGCTTTTTGTACAGACAGACAATCTTCCAGCACTTCAGCAGGTAAAAATAGACCATGATCAATTTATAAGGTCCTACTCAGGACAAAGCCTGTCCGTCTGTGACAAGACAGCAACGCTGACATATTAAAGCGCTAAGATGCGAGAGCTCGCATGATTTTACCGTGTTAAAGGCTCATGCTGTAAATGCACACAACAGAGTTTTAAGCTGCTTTCACACTGAACACTGAATGAATAAAATTCACCGCTGCTCTTTCAAGGCCACTGTTTCATTGTAGGCACAGATTTCGGCGGGTGGAGCTCAGTGAGGAGCACTCACAGGGTCATTTTTCCAATTTTGCACATGCACTTCGGCCAATCGTTTCTGCTTGGCCGACAGGAGAGCAGCAGGCGGGTCTGGTAGTTCCTCTCACCACCTGAAAGGTCAGTTTTATCAGAGAACGCTGCCCACTTTGCGAGGTTTGCACTTATCGTGAGTGATGTGAAAGTGTTCTAATGGAGTTGTGGTCTGAACCAGAGCTGGTCTGAGATCTCAAAGGACCAGAAAGAACACTGAGTCCTCCTTATAGTTCACTTTACACTGTGAACACATTTGCAGGTCATTTGCAGTTGGATCCCTTTCAGGTTCACTTCAGCAGAACTCAGTTCAGTTCATTTGAAAAGAACTATATGTGAAAACTCCCTTGAAGAGGGTCCTGTTTAGCATGGATGAGATCTCAGACCCATTCTTGTTCACACCACAACTCCTTTGTCAGCAGTATGGGCGAAGCTCTCTGACCTTTCAGGTATTGACAAGAACCATCAGTCACGTCTACTTACTGCTCTCCGGTTGGCCATGCTGAGATTTGGGCAAAGCTTTTGTTTTTCGGATACTTGGCCTGTTTGAAACCACAGTAGGCCTGGATTATGTGTTAAAATAATTACTACAATATTCTCTAGTTATTGCAATTATCCATTATGTCACCCACCAAACCTTTCTATAAACACATGCGTTCATGAGCTTCTTCTGTTACAGATTTACAGCAATTTGCATGTTAATAGCGAAGAGATGCTGGAGAAACTTCAGACTGCAAGTGATTTTCAAAGCCGTGCTCTTATCCAGAGTGATCATTTTACCGAGGTGAGCTACAGAGTCTTACCCAAGAACTCTAACTTGTATAGTGTAGGGAAGGGGTTTGGCAACCTGGAGCTCCGGAGCCACATGCGGCTCTTTTACTGACCCCTTGTGGCTCCACAGCTGAATCAGATTTGTAGGTAAAAATAAAATAATCCTCCTTTACAGTAAAATAAAGCTCTGCTGATCGTTCAACACAGTTTACCAATAAATGGTCTTAAACTCTGGAGTTAATGTAGAACTGCTGATTCACCCTTTAACCCTGAAGATCAGCGCAGACTGCTGGTCACCATAGCAACAGTCTCGCCCAGCTAGTAGCTAACAAAATGGCAAAGAGAGAGATTTAAGATGAACATTGATCATTTGAGATGATGGACTTATTTACGTTTATAATCACTCCAGCTGGTTTCCTGATACGTTTAATCTGCAACGAGAAACTGAAACACTAAGAAGTCACGAGGCTGAAGTCGCTTCTCTTCGCCAGCTTCTTGTTTGAATTCTCTCGTTCCACCTTAAATGGTGCAGCAGTTACATTCCGGCGCCTCAGGCACCATTTAAGGTGGAACGGGAAAATTCAAACAAGAAGCTGGCGAATAAGAAGCAACTTCAGCCTCGTAAAAAAAGAAAAAATCAAACGTTGAGAGTCATTTTACAAGAAACTGTTCTACTTTTGAGGAAGTTTCCTGCTGGAGATGCGAGAAAAGCAGCTATAACTGAGCTAAAGATTAAAGCAGAGCAAAGTAAGTCTGTGTTTTCATTTATATTTTTTAGTCTATATTAGTACATCAGCACATACTGAGACATATTTACAGCCAAGATGGCAAAATGGACATAAAGTGTGGTGGAGGTCAGATGTGTTACCCACTACACTAGACCAACCACTAGTCTATGAGCCTGAAGAGCACATACTGGACTCACTTTGACTCCAATCTTCTGAACAATAGTGTATCTGATTTCTGGAGCTACTCACCTGATATGTGTGTGACCCTGTGGGGGTGGGGGTTGTGTCTGGAGAAGAAGGAGTGGTGGCTGAGCGTGCCGAAGCGAGCGCTGCCCCTAGTGGTCACTCTGGTGAGATCGGAGATGAACTGAGCCGGATTCTCGAATGGTGTTTTCTCCGGGTTGCTGTGGCTGCAGGACTGGAGCTCTCGCGCCTCCTCACATGACTCCATGATCTACACCCAGGGAAAATGTGAAATATGAGAAATATGTATTTTAATGTATAAAATTAGGTTTTGTTAGACATTGACTGGTTTTTGTATTTAGAAATCGCACATTTGGGAAAAGCATGATATATTTTTATTATTATTATTTATGACTCAGTTCACTGAAATAAGTGGAGAATTGTGTGAAAAGTGCAGATTCTAAACTTTCATTTGTGCTTGTGAGTAAAAGAGGGGATATTTTATTATGATTTAAATTTGATGAAAAGTTGTTGTGTATACACACAGTCTTGTTTCGCCAAAAAAGAAGAACTATACATTGAATTTTTGCCTTTTTGTCAGTTTTTCGATGTTGGAACAAACTGAAACATGTCAGAATCTGTCCATACAGAATGTAAAGTGAATTGAAAAGTAATTCATTATGTAATTAAGTATTTATGACATTATGTAATTACCATTTAGTAGTATAAAAACGACAGTAATAAGATTTCGAATAGTAAAAGTCACTCAAACTCCAGTTCCTTTTCTCCCCTTAGATTTGAGTCACAATTATTGAGAGCTTTGTAATACAAACACTTTGAAAAATCTTCTTTACAATAATCCAACCTAATAATTCAATGATTACACAAATGTGAAAACCAATTCTGCCTCTTAATAGAGTGCAAAACAAAGTTTGTCACGAAGTTAAACAAGATAGACAGTATAAAACATTTCAGAAAGTAAGAGCTGGTGTTCCAGTTTTCTGACTCCAACACAGTCACTCCATTGTGTTGAATGTAATCTCTTTAAAAGGAGAACCGAGTTCCTCAACGAGCTGCAGATAAACCCTCAATTACTGCCTTCACTAATTTGTTCCATCAGCCTGGAGCAAATATGAAAATGTGTTAATATAAAGCTCACCTCCTCTTTTTTTTCTCCCTCTTTCTGTCCGTTTTCTTCAAGAAGCCTCACTAATCCTCCTGCTGCTGTGTGTTTGCTGCGTTACTAGGAAACCCAGGCTTAACATAAGAAAGAAAACACAGCTCCATGTTCAAAAGGCTCGCTGACACACAGTAGCCCACACAAACAAATCACGACGGATTATTTGAGGAGGGATCGATCACGGCCAGGCCAGCAGTTCATTTTCCACAGCAGACGTGCAAAGATAACATCAATATCTGGAACCATATCAGCAACCAGGGAGAAATGAAGGATTCGAGGGGGACAATTAAAGAGATATCATTTAGTTCATTTCCACCCATTCAGTTCAGGTTATTGATTTCTCAGCAGACATTTCTTGGCAGATTAGAGATAATCCGCATAAGAGAACCTTAAGGTGAAGAAACAGGAGTTTGGGACCGTGTGAGACCTGGTAGACCACCAGAACTGTCCCCCCCAGGATAAACAGCACTTTTCCATTTATGGACTATTTGAACTGAATGGATTGTGGACCAAACTGTGTGTTTTGAAAGTTAACAATATAAACATACTGTGTTACACTTATTAAAAAAAGTAGGAAAATTCTTTTCTCCCTAGAAGGAAATGAAGCTCCACTTAGATCAGATCTAAAAAAAGTCCACAACTGTTTCTGACAATTAAGAAAAAAGAAGAAAGTTGGTTCTAGAACCAACCAAAAGTGGACTTCTGAGATGTGGAGTGAGGTTTATGGGCCGATTCATCTCTTTAAAAGATGGTTCTTCAAGGGTTCTTTAGCAAAGGCATTGCCTCTATATAGAATCCTGAACACTCAAAGAACCATTTGCATGCTTAAATGGTTCTTCGCGTGGTGAAAAGGTTCTTTGTACTGATGGAGAATGCATGGTGTGTTTCTATAGAGAACCTTTTTGAAAACGGTTTTGTGTAGCACCAAAAACGGTTCTGCTATTGTTACGATGTCAACCTTGTCACAATAGGAGAACCCTTTTTGGTGCTATATAGAACCACAGCACATTCTCCATCAATCTGAAGGACATTTCAGCATGCAGAGAACCATTTAAGCATGCAAATGGTTCTACATAGAACTCATGTTTCTAAACAGAGCCATTCAGATTACTAAAGAACCCTTGAAGAATGAAGTGAGTCTCCTGAAAAGAATTGTAACAGGCTATAATAAAGGTAAATTATGTTTATGAGATTATGATGAGATTATGTTGAGTTTCTGTGTGATTTTCTGATAAATATGAGTTTTCTGCTTTTTTTCATCACACAAAAAATAATTATTTTGTACTTAATAGCCTTTTTCCCTGTAAATTAAATAAATAAAGGGTGGTCTCTGATGGTTATACAGGACTGTATACGTCCAGCTGGTAACTAAACACTCTTAAATTGGAAAATTCAATGCCTGAGTTGAATGAGAGATGAAAAACATGTAATTGCATGAAATTTAGTGCACACTTAAGCCTGGCCTGAAGCTAAGTGAGTCATAAGCGGGTTACATGTAGAGAAAATGATGAGTGATTCGTGGGGAGCGTGGGAAGAACACAGAGGAGACTTTCAGCTTCAGATTGTGAATGCAGCACCAGCAGCAGCTTCAAAATGAATGGCCGTCTATGGGGAGAGAGAAAACGAAGGATGGAGGAAAAAAGCGGGCAGCGGGGGAGCAGTGCAGAGAAAAACACAGTCCAGGGCTAAAGCTGATCGCTGTAGGTCAGTGGAGGCTTTGATCTGCTACAAATAGATACACCACTTAAAAATTTAGAATCAATTGTCTTTAATGTTTCTTTGTCATTTTGTTCAATAATAACAGAAAAAATATAGTGATTTACTAATACTAATTCACTATATTTTAATAGTATGACCTATAATATCACAAAAATATATTAAAATTGAATAATTTATATTTTTGATTTTTCTCATCAAGTACAATGGAAAAAAAACAAAACACTTAAATGTTGTCTGTTTATTTAAAAAAATTTAAATAGATTTCAATTTATTTCTGCATTTATTACTGATATCTTGGGAAAGTGCTCACCTCAAGATTTGATCACTGCACTGCAAATGTAAAGTGTTAAGTAAAGTATTAAATATTCTAGATATTATCTTCGTTATAACTTCATTCTCGATTTTGGAAATCTAAAAGTTCTTTCTTGGTTATTTAAGCAGTAGAACCCGAGAGGGAGAGTGTTATCACAAAATAACATCACGGCTGTGATTTGGTCGCCGTAGATCATCACAGCCGTGATGTTATTGGCGATAACACACTCCTCGAGTGTTCTACTGCTTTAATACAACAGTTAAATAAATACAGTAATAAATTAATAAACTGGGCCGTGAACGCGGCGTTTAATATGTTTTAATGTTCGCAGTTCCTTCACCAAATTATAGTTCCTTAACGAGCAGCTTGTTGCTACGTCAGAGTAACGAGCTCCGCCCACTCGCTGCTCAGTCTGCTGTAAGCCTCGCCTTTTGAAGTACAGACTGAGCCATCAAACTGCCGCAATATCAAGTTTAGCTCAGTTTTGTCAGTTTTTGCCAGATCAGTATTAATGTTGTTTTGTTCCAGCCAGTCTGTAAAGCATCTTACAGCCCGTTTAGTTTGGCGAATGGAGTTGGGTTCATTTCTGGCTGATTCCAGGTTGTTTAGCTGTTCTTCTGTCTCAGCTGCCGACTGAAAAGCTGCTCAGTGGTGATGACAGTTTGGGAATTTAGTGTCGTCTCATCTTCAGAGTCTGACCAAATCGGCCGTCGGTCAAATGTGATCTTAAAAGTGCCCATTTTCTGTTTGTGGCAAAGTAAGAAGTAAAAACGTTCAGATGACTTGAGCGTCTCCTACAGCTGTCAAAGTCGTTGCTTAGCAACGGCGTCTCAGCGGAGTGAAACAGTGTTTGTGAATGTTATGGTGAAATAACAGTTAGAACGCTTCTCAACCAATCAGCTTGCATGGCCGGAACTAACTGATTATTCACCAGCTTCAAATTCATGAAACACTACTTATGTTGTCATCAATTTCTATACATATTTCCAACACAATTATATTATTGAACATATTAATTCCAAGGGTGCGCATTCAAAACAAACAAAAAAAAAGAGGAATTAACAAAACTTACGGTTCTAGTTCTAGTTCTAGTTCTCACCTGTGTGAAAGACAGTTGGACCTGCAATACACTCTCAGAAATAAAGGTGTTGAACTGTCACTGGGTCAGTGCCCCTCTTATCACTGGGGTGGAACCCTCAAGGCTCCATCTCAGTTCCTTTAGTCAGGGAACATAACTGAACCATAATCCACTGAAATGATATGTTCTAAGCTGTACTGACTCCACACACCCCGTCTCGTCTCCAGGCTTTTATTTTATCGTTCTGTTTTAAAACATGAAAAGGTACAAATACGAACTTTTCACCTGGAAAAACTTATTTAAGGTTCACAATCAGACCTTAAACCCACTGTTGGAGCTTTGAGGGAACATTTACACTGTTTGTACCTTGATGAACGAAAAATGTACCTGCACAAAACCCACATGTTTTCAGGAGTGAGTATTTTTCCCTGACACACTCCCACACCCGCATCACTAGAGTGAATAGCGTTAAAGTGATCTGGCGGTACAGTGACTGATGATGGAGTGACTAATGTTTGGTGTGAATGATGCTAGAGTGACTGATGTTGGAGTATTTATAGGAATTTCTCGTTAAAGTAGCCACTTCAGAGTTGATTAAATGTGAGTCATTCTGATATTTATAATATTATAACGTAATTCTTCATGTTATTTAGCTTTCTCAGTCATTCAAAGTCACAGACTGCTCTGTTCATCACTACAGATTCTTCTGGCTGCACACTTGTAGGCCTTTCAGCTTTCAGTGAACCAGTTAGAGTAAATGATCTTGTATGGACTGAGTTTGGAGTAATTGATGTCAGAGTAAACAGTGTAATAGATGTTGGAGTCACTGATTAAGCAACTAATGTTGGAGTGAACAACATTGGTGTGAACAATGCTGGTGTATTAGATGTTAGAGTGAACAATGTTGGAGTGACCAACGAGTGAACAAAGCTGGAGTGACTGATGTTAAGTGGACTATGTTAGAGTGAACACTGTTGGAGTGAGCAATGAGTGAACAATGCTGGAGTGACTGATGTTAAGTGGACTACGTTGGAGTGAACAATGTTGGAGTGACCAATGAGTGAACAATGCTGGAGTGACTGATGTTAAGTGGACTACGTTGGAGTGAACAATGTTGGAGTGACCAATGAGTGAACAATGCTGGAGTGACTGATGTTAAGTGGACTACGTTGGAGTGAACAATGTTGGAGTGACTGATGTTAAGTGGACTATGTTGGAGTGAACAATGTTGGAGTGACCAATGAGTGAACAATGCTGGAGTGACTGATGTTAAGTGGACTACGCTGGAGTGAACAATGTTGGAGTGACCAATGAGTGAACAATGCTGGAGTGAATGATGTTAAGTGAACTATAAGTGAACACTGCATGACAACACTAACAAAGCAGAACTAACAGTACAAAACTTTAAAACAGAGAAATTCTGTAACTTACATGTAGAATAAGCTGTTTTCAGAGCTCCGTTGGCCCAAATGCTTCATCAAAACAAAACCGTGTAAGGGTTCTTTTCCAAAGGCAATGTTTCTTTAGAACCATGAGTGCTATACAGTCTTAAAAAATATGGCTCCTCAAGGGTCATTAGTAAAGAAAATGGTTCTACAGAGCACCAAGAAAGGTTCTTTTATTGTTAGAAGCTCGGATCATAACAATAGCAGAACCCCTTTTGGTGCTATATTGAACCCTTTTCAAAAAGGTTCTATATAGAACCATATACAACACATTCTCCATCAATCTGAAGAACACTTTCACAATGTGACGAATGCTTTAATCACACAAAGGGTTCTTTGAGTGTTCATGGTTCTATATAGAGCGATACTCTTCACCAAATAACCTTTGAAGAACCATCTTTAAGACTGTAGAGAACTATTTTATGCTGAAAATGTTCTTTGCATGGTAAATTGGTTCTTCATTGATGGAGAATGTGTTGTATATAGCACCAAAAAGGGTTCTTGTATTGTTACAAGCTTAATAATTACATTTGAAGAATGTTTCGGTGCAATTTAGAACCATTTTCAAAAAGGTTCTGTATAAAAACCTTACATAACACATTCTTCACCAGTCTACAGAAGCATTTCACCATGCACGCAGATGGTTCTTTGAGTACATATAGAACCATTGTCCTAACGTAAGAACCCTTGTAGAACCATCTTTTTAACAGTGTAGTTTGTCAGGTTTGTAGCCTAAAATAGACTTAAAATCAAAGTGGCAAAGTGGCAAGCAAGGTCATCAGGTCCCAGCTTATTGACCGGCATGGAAGGTAAAGGTCATTTTAGATGGTCCTGGTCGTCCACTGTGAAGGGAGCTTCTGAGCTGTTACGCCATTAAGTACAATCTATTCTTTTTTCAGTGTCTGGAAAAAGAAAATTACACAGAGGCTGATCTAATCTCAGCTGTTCAGTGTTCAGTGAGTCACTCTCTCCCTTTATTCCACTCTGTTCAGGAGACTCACTTTCAGTTCCTCAAAGAATCTGCAGACACACCTCCAAAGTTCAGTCTTAGAAGCTGGTTGAACACTTTCTGAAGTAATCAAACACATTCAGTGGTGTTGAGGTCTGGACTCTGGGGTGGTCAGTCCATCGTTCAGCTTCGTTGTTTGATGTGTCCGTCCCTTTTCTCAGTGAGGTTCTTCTTGACAGCTACACATCCTTTCAGACCCACAGCGCTGAGTCGTCTTCTCACAGTGGAAGGATGGACAGAAACACCTGTGGATGTTTTCAGATCTGAAGCAGCTTGATTTTCTCCTCTCTCTCAGAGATGAAAGCTTTAACGCAGGCATGTCAAACTGGGGACCTTCTGGGCCAAAGTGCTGTGGATATTAGCCTTTACCCTCATCTAAGGCTCTCAGTTCAGTTCATGAGGCCTCACTGATTAGCTGACGAGCTGAATCAGGCGTGTTTAATTAGGCAGTGTGCTGACATCTGCAGAGTTTTGGGCCACAGGGACTGGAAACACATGTGCTTTCAAGCAACACTACGTAGGATTTGGGGATTTGGAGACCTCTCTGGTGGAAATATGTAATTGCATGCAATGTGTTGAGCTCTATGTAGCCCATAAGTGGCTAAATCTGAATATTGTGAGTGAGTTGAAAGAGAATTTGAAGAGGACTCGATCTAAACTACTGTCATCATATCTTCATCAGTATGATGTTGATTTTGAGATCATCTGAGGCCGAAACTTCGAGCCACTGTGTGACGTTAATACATTAAGACGGACGACCGTGTGAAAAACTCAACACCTCTGACTTTAAACGATCATTTCAGGCTTTACAGGGCGACTCACAGCAGCTCACACTCACCATGTTTTAGCCTGGTTTCATTCTCCTCACTCAGTAACGACACGTCTGGAGCTTTAGGTGCTGTTTATCTGATGGGGGCAGTTTTAATGTCTACCAGGTCTTCCAGGTGGTTGTTAGGAGCCACATTTTCTCTGTGGTTCAGTTTTGGAAACTCCTGTGTTTTCTCTTATTTTCCTTTGACCTTCTCCTTCACTGTGAGTGGATTATCTTCTACTTAATCCAATCAGAAATATTTCCTGAACAAATGAATGACTTGTACTTATTGGCTGTTCTGAGTGAAAATAAACAAATGGTCTCTGACTTTTGCACAGTGCTGTATGTGCATGCGCTACTACGTATGAGTGAATATGTGAGAGGGTAAAGGAGGGGGGAGAGGGAGGGGGAGAGAGAGAGACAGAGAGAGAGAGAGAGAGAGAGAGAGAGAGAGAGAGAGAGAGAGAGAGAGAACAGCAGGCAACGGGAGAGAAACACAAAGTGAACGGAGAGAAAGAAAGGAGGAAAGCGACAAAGAGAAAGGCCAAGAGAGAGAAAGCGGAGAGAAAACAGAGAGAGAAGAAAATGATAGAAAGACAATAAGAAAGAAAGAAAGAAAGAAAGACAGAAAGAAGAGAGAGAAAGCAGAGAGAAGGAAAGCAAGAGAGAAAAAGAGAAAAACAAAGAGAAGAGAAAGAAAAAAGAAAGAAAGAAAGCGAGTGAGACACAGAGCAGAGAAAGAAAGAGAGAGAGACAGAACACACACAGAGAGAGAAACAGAACAGAAAGAGAGAGAGAGAGAGAGAGAGAGAGAGAGAGAAGAAAAAAGATAAACAGAAAGAGAAGAGACAAAGAAAAAAGAAAGAAAGAAAGCGAGTGAGAGAGAGAGAGAGAGAGAGAGAGAGAGAGAGAGAGAGAGAGAGAGAGACACAGAGAGAGAGAGAGAGAGAGAGACAGACAGACAGAGAGACAGACAGAGAGAGAGACAGAGAGAGAGAGAGAGAGAGAGAGCACAGCGAGAGAGAGAGAGAGAGAGAGAGAGAGAGAGAGAGAGAGATCTACGGCTCTGCGCTCGTGCTGGAGTCACTCCGTGTCCGCGCGCCACTAACCCCTTAAGAGGGGTAAAGAAAGACCCTCTCCTCCCTCCTTCCTGCCCTCCTGTTCTCCATCAGGTCCGGTGCTTTGTGCATGCAGCATGACGGCCGCCACGTCCACGGTCGCGAGCGCGAGCGTCGGGCGCATCACCCCGGAGCTTCTGCGCGACCTGCTGCGCCGCTACAACCTCTCGCGCCACGAGTTCATCCGCGCGTACGGCGTGCCGCCGCTCGTGTACACGCCTGAGCTGCCCGCGCGCGCGCGCATCGCCTTTGTGCTCACGTACGCCGCGATCTTCGCGCTCGCGCTGCTGGGGAACGGCGTGGTGCTGTGCGTGCTGGCGCGCGAAGGAGCCGCGCGGCGCGCGTCCAGCCTCTTCATGTGTTCGCTCGCGCTCAGCGACCTGCTCATCACCTTCTTCTGCGTGCCGTTCACCTTACTGCAGAACATCTCTTCACAGTGGAGCGGAGGTAGAGCGGCCGTCTGGGGGGCTGTTTGTTTGTTTGTTTGTTTGTTTGCTTGCTTGTGGTGTTTTATGTTCTTTGGGGTGTTTTAGTTTTGTTTGTTTTAAATTCTCAGTTTTTGGCTGCAAAAAATTCCGCCCAACAGAGGTAGAGTTACAAAGCACAGAGAGAATGTTTGTTTGTTTGTTTGTTTGCTTGCTTGCTTCTTTGCATCCTTAATGTGCTGCAAAACATCTCATCTCAACTGAGTTCAGGTTCGGGGCACAGAGAGGGCTTTCCGGCTTTGTTGTTTGACTGATTGTTTGTCATATTTTTGTTTGGTTTTGTTTGTGCCATTCATGCCAAAATATATTTCAGCCCAGCGGGGCAGCGGTGCGGGACAGAGACAACTTTTTGTCTGTTTTGTTGTATACAAAGCACTACAAATACAAAGCACAGAGAGAACGCTTGTTAGTTAGTTAGTTAGTTTGTTTGTTTGTTTGCTTGCTTCTTTGCATCCTTAATCTGCTGCAAAACATCTCATCTCAATCGAGCTGAGTTACGGGGCACAGGGAGGGCTTTCTGGCTTTATTTGTTTGTAGCATTTGTTTGTTTTTGTTTGTGCCATTCATGCCGCTACAAAATATTTCAGCCCAACGGAGCAGAGGTGCAGGACAGAGACAACGTTTTGTCTGTTTTGTTGTATTTTTAGGGGGTGTTTTGTTTTGGTTTGTCTGTTTTTGTCTGCAAATATGGCTGCCCAACAGAGCAGAAATACAGAGCACAGAGAGCATGTTTGTTTGGTTGTTTGTTTGTTTGCTTGCTTGCTTGCTTGTTTGCATCCTTAAATCAGCTGCAAAACATCTCATCTCAGTCGAGTTGAGTCACGGGACACAGAGAGGGCTTTCTGGCCTTGTTGTTTGTTTGTCATATTTTTGTTTGTGCCATTCATACCACTACAAAATATTTCAACCCATGGTGCAGAGGTACAGGACAGAGTCGTCTTGTTGGCTGTTTTGTTGTATTTTTAGGGGGTGCTTCTGTTTTGTTTTGTTTCGTTTCAATATGTCTGTTTTTGGCTGTAAAGATTTCCACATTCCACTCAAACATGTGTTTGTTTGTTTGTTTGCATCCTTAATGTGCAGCATAACATCTTAAGTGAGTGGAGGTGCAGGGCATCGAGTGGGCTTTTTGACTGTTTGTAGCATTTTTGTTTGCTTTTGTTTGTACTGTTACAAAATGCCGCTATAAATATTTCCTGTCAGTGGAGCCGAGGTAGAGCATCAAGACAGTTTCTGGGCTGTTTTTTCAGTTGTGTAGGGGTGGTTATGTTGTTGGGGGATGTTTGTGTTTTATATAGCGTGGGGGGTTGTTTTGTCCTGTTTTCATTTGTTTGCTTTTGGCTGCAAAAATTTCCACCCAACAAAGCAGAAATACAAAGCACAGAGAGAATGTTTGTTTGTTTGTTTGCTTAATGTGCTGCAAAACATCTCATTTCATCTCAATTGAACTGAGGTACGGAGCACAGAGAGGGCTTTTTGGCTTTGTTTGTTTGTTTGTTTTTGTTTGTGTCATTCATGCCGAAAAATATTTTAGCCCAACGGAGCAGAGGTGCAGGACATACAGACAACTTTTTGTCTGTTTTGTTGTTTTTTTAGGGGGTGTTTTGTTTTAATTTGCCTGTTTTTGGCTGCAAAAATGTCCACCCAACAGAGCAGAAATACAGAGCACAGAATGTTTGTTTGGTAGTTTGTTTGTGTCCTTAATGTGCTTAACATCTCAGTGGAGTGGAGGTACAGGGTCAGGGAGGGCTTTCAACTGTTTCGTTTGTTTGCTTGGGGTGCTTTATGTTCTTTGGAGTGTTTGTTTTGTTTTTATTTGTCTGTTTTTGGCTGCAAAAATGTCCACCCAGTAGAGCAGAGATACAAAGCACAGAGAGAAATGTTTGTTTGTTTGCATCCTTAATGTGCTGCAAAACATCTCAAGTGAGATGAAGTGCAGGGCACAGAGAGGGCTTTCTGGCTGTTTGTTTGTTTGTTGTATTTTTATGTTTGTTGTTTGGAAGTATTTTTGTTTTATCTTGTTTTCAGTTGTTTGTCTTTATGACTGCATAAATTTCCACCCAACGGGGCAACTTTCGGCTGTTTTGCTGTTTGTTTGAGGGTGTGTGTTTGTTCTTGGTTTGTTTGGATTGTTTATGTTCTTTGGGGGTGTTTTAGTTTAGTTTTGTTTTAATTTGTCTGGTTTTGGCTGCAAAAATTCCACCCAACAGAGCAGATACAAAGCACAGAGAAATGTTTGTTTGCTTGCTTGTTTGCATCCTTAATCTGCTGCAAAACATCTCCATTAAATGGAGAGGGCTTTTTATCTGTTTTGTTTTTTTTTGTTTGCTTTTTTGTTTGCAGGTCATATTTTTGTTTGTTTTTGTTCATCCCACTACAAAATATTTAATCCCAATGGAGATAAAATAAAGAGGTACAGGGCATAGAAAGGGCTTTTTGGTTGTTTTGTTATTTGTGTAAAGGTGTTCGTTGTTTGCGGATGTTTGTTTCATTTTGTTTTAATTCGTTTGTTTTTGCCTGCAAAAATTTCCACCGAGTGGAGCAGCTTTCGACTGTTTTATTGTTTGAGGGTGTTTTTTGTTATGTGTTTGTTTGTTGATTGCGCTTCTCATCTCAGTGTAACTGAGTACAGGGTTTAGAGTGAGGGCTGTTGTGTTGTTTATTTTAGGGTGTTTGTTTTGTTTATGAATGTTTATTGGTTTTTAACAACACAGGCAGATTCAGAATCTGTAATACATGGAAACACAAATAAATGTGGGGGATAATATGGTTATATCCACATCATACCCATATCCAGCCATATACAGTATCAGTGAAGTTTAGGAGATATTAAATCAGTCTGGCTCTACAAGGCCTTCACAAAGCAACAGCATTAGACCAGTTCTGAATTATAGCAGCCTTCGCCTTATGAAATCTGGCCATGGCCACGCCACAATAAGAGTATCTAACAAATAGCAACGGCAAGATAAAGAAGACTGAATATCTGGCACAAACCAGCCCTTCAAAATAGACTTTTAAAGCTGTTAAAGCTGCGATTAAAACTCTTTTGCTGTGAATTAGGAGTCATATTAGAATCACCTCCTAATAAAAGCAAACTTGGACATGAAGGAAGATCAACATTCAGGAGATCAGACAGTGTTTGTACTCCATGGCTCCAATAAAACATGTGGGCTTTGCCAGAATATATGAAAATAATCAGAGCCTGAATTACACCTTTTCCTTTTCAGCTTTTTCTGTTGGACAGTTTTAGTTCTGAGGTGTTTTTGTTTGCTTGTAGAACAGAGAATAGAGTCTTTATCATCATTATACTCCGGTACTATGAAATTTCATATGGCATCTCTCACATAGAGGCCACAAAAGCAGGAATAATACAATGAAATAAAAATATAAACTACAATAAGTGATGAAAAGCAATAATAGCAGCAAACTCCTAAAGTGACACTGTGCAAAACACTTTACATCCCAGTGTACATCCTTGTGTGTTTGTTTGGGGCCATTTTTGTTTGTATCCTTCACGCCGATACAAAATATTGCACCCTAAGGAACAGAGGTACAGTGCTAGGAGAGGGTTGTTTTGTTTTTGGGGGGGTTTGTGTGTCCTCTTTTTGTGTACCCTTCACTTTACTGTAAAATTCCACTGGACTAAAGTGGACGTTGCTGTCCTGTTTGTTTGGGTGTTTTAGTCAGTTATTCAGTTTGTGCCTTTCGTGCTGCTGCAGAACATGTTATCTCAACAGAGCGGAGGGATGGGGCACAGAGAGAGGACTATTCTTGTGCTTGTTTGTTTGGGGGTGTTTTGTTGTGCCATATTTTTATTTGCTTGTTTGTGCTATAAACACTGCAGGAATCCTAAATTCCAGTGGAGCAGATGCACAGGGCACAGAGAGGGCTTTTGTTGTTTTCTTTGTTTTGGATTTTTGTATCTTTCCCTTTACTGCAAAACGTCTCGTTACAGTGGAGTGGCCACAGGGGGCGCAGACAAGCTGTTTTTGTTCGGTTGTTTGGGAAACATTTGTTTGGATGCACTATTTGTTTGTCGTTTTGTGCTCTTCCTGCTACTGCAACATCTCAGTTGAGCATTAAAGGGCTCTTCTGTTGTTTTTTGGGCAGCATTTTTTATTTGTTTGGGGTTTTTTCCCACATTTTTATTTTTGTTCGTACAATTTATGCTGCTATCCAACCTTTCGTCCCAATGGAGTGGAGGTAGAGGACATACAGAGGGGTTTTTGTTTGTTTGGTTGGCTAGTTATGTTAGTCTGAACCCTCCATCTTACTGCGAACCCATCGCAGTGGAGCAGAGGTACAGGACATAGAGAGGGCTTTTGGGCTGTTTTGTTGTTTGGGGCTGTTTCTTTGTTATTTGTTTGTATTTTTGTTTGTTATTTGCAGCCTTAATGCTTCGGTGAAACTTCTCATCTCAGTGTAACTTTGCGTATGGGGTTTAGAGAGAGGGCTTTTTGGTTGTTGTTTGTTTTAGGGTGTTTGTTTTGTTAATGAATGTTTATTGTTTTTTGACAACAACACACAGACACAGTCAGAATCCCTGCAAAATAAATGTGGGGGATATTATGGTTATATCCACATCATACTCATATCCAGCCATATACAGTATCAGTGAAGTTTAGGAGATATTAAATCACTCTGGCTCTACAAGGCCTTCACAAAGCAACAGCATTAGACCAGTTCTGAATTATAGCAGCCTTCGCCTTATGAAATCTGGCCATGGCCGCTCCACAATAAGAGTATCTAACAAATAGCAACGCCAAGATAAAGAAGACTGAGTATCTGGCACAAACTGACCCCTCATGATGGAGAGAATCAGAGGATCTGATTTATAGCCAGCTACACCAATTAGTAGGGGTGCGGTAAAAAATCGATTTTTAGATGCATCCCGATGCGGACGTGGACGATTCTGAATCGATTCACAAATGTCAAAAATCGATTTTCTAAATATTTCACTTATAA